ATACGACGCTCAAAAATTGTCTAACGTTTCTATTGAAAATCGAATGTGGATTTTCGGCCTAGATTTTTAATTCCCATCATTCGCCTACAACTAAAACAATATCATCATCGGTCCTATTTTTTATTTTTTTTTAAAATTGTTAAGACGAAGAAATGACGTATATTGATTTTAATTTAAACAGTTGTCTTACCACTGATAATATTTTACCAACTCAATGATGGTTTGGATTCGTAGAATTAGAAAGTAAAATTACAAGTTGGATAAAGACTCGTTGGACATCAATTTCAATTAACATCAACAACCTTAGAAAACAATTTTGAAAATGTGCAAATAACATGTGCTGGTGTTGGATCTGATAGTTAACGTCGAATCATCTGTGAGTTCACCTTGAAATAGTCAAAAGAACTTATTCGTGAAGAATACCAAAATAGACGAGTGCAGGAGGTTGAGAGACGTCATCAGCGAATATCATTATGATACGACTAAAAATATTTCCCCTATAAAGTCACAACCTTATATTACAGCCAATCAAAAGAGAGTAACAATGACTTAATGCATGACTAAAACCTTAGCATCATAATGACTCGTGACATCAAACTCCCCGATCGATGAAATCTCGCAAAATAGGACGATGGCATACATTACTTGGTCGAACATTATAGCTTGACAAGACTAGAATAGTAAGCTCCAGTTTCATGGCTTGTATAAGAGGAAAAAGGCACAACGAAATTGGCCGAGCTCGGTCATCTGTATTACTATATTCAACAATACTACAAGTCTTAGCCCCCGTTTGGCCTCCATTAAATTATAATTCATTTTTTTTTTCTCTTCCTATCAACCACACATTATTCAATAAAATAATATTAGACGTAAACTCAAAATTTTTTCTTTCTTTTTTAACCACACAATCTCCAAAAAATTACTATTCCTCTTATTATAATGTAGAATAATGGGGACCAAACGGTCGCTTCTTTTCATTAAAAAAATGCCAGCAAGCAAAATTGTTATTCTATTAAAAAATTATTTAAGTTGATCTAAAAGTACCACGTCATTTCTATTCATCGACAAGCAAAAAATGAAACGGAAATTCTTTTTACTATAATTTTATGAAGACAAAAACTCTAATATCTCGATACTTATGGGTCGAATTGTCTGTAAAGTTATTTTAAATATATGAAAACACATCTACCGCATCCTTAGGCTACTACCAACATATACAATAACCAATAATGTTAAATGTACATTTATTCCCTTACATTGTGTTTGACATTTCCTTTGTTTTTAAAAATTTATGGGTGGTAAAAGTGTTTTTTTAATCTGTCCGATGATGTGTTGTGATTCACAATGCAAACAACGATGTACATATAACATGATTTTACAATACTAAATTGCTTTGTGATCAAGTGGCTGCTTTTAAATTTCAAACACTTAAAAGCTGCTTTATTCTATAACTAATGCTTTAATTAGCATTAATTAAAAACCTGGTTTATTATTTAATTAATTAATGTGGTTAGTGCATGCGTAATCTTAACACTTAAGAGCTGCTTTTATCATTTAATTAACAAGTATTGATGAATGTAGTTGATGCTAGTCTCAATACAAAATCAGCTTATTTTGGCACCATACAAATTTAAGACAAATTTGGGCGTGTTTATAAATATAGGGGCTTGCTACTTTTTTTGGATCAAAATAAATAGAATTATGGATCCACGCAAATAATTATGAATAAAAAAGCTCAAATTACAGTATAATCTCGATAAATAAATGTTCGATAAATTAATAATCT